GGAAGAGTCATTTCTTTCCTGGACCCCAAATAGAAGAGGTTCTCTTTTACAAAAGTTTGTCTTAACTTAGAGCAAGATTTGTCTGTTTGTTTGATTCCCGTTTCATTTGCATGATTTGTGGGGGATTTTTCTTCTTTTTTGAGGTTTTTGTTTTGTTTTTGCTGCAAAGTATTTTTAATGAAATTATTTGTGAATGTACAAATCATTTAGTTTGTGCATAGATAATAAAATAAAATGTCTAAGGATCATCTAATCTCTGTATTATTACATAACCTATAAAACGGGGTGTTTTAGAGGGTATAAAAGGTCTCCTGAATGTTTCTCGATCAAGCGAAGGTCCCCTACCTGGCTGATCCCGCTGAGCAGGGCTGTGCCGTGTTCTGCCCCCGAAACATGTCTTCAGTTTTCTCAAGTTGGAAGAAGCTTTTCAGAATGTCAGATAGCAAGATCCACATCTAATTCCCGCAGTAAATGAGCTATGGTGTTTAATTGTAGCTTTTCTGTCCAGTTTTTAAAATTTCAAACTTCTATATGCGTTTTCATCTTGCAGCATTTGTTACATCGGAAAGTGAAAGGAAGAGCAGATTCCTGGGCAGGGCGCAGCCTGCTGCACATGCGCAGACTCGAGCACGTACGTGTCCGGAAGTGCTGTGAGAGTGGTGGGGACTTTTAGATGCCTCCAAAAAAGTCTGGACCTAAGAGCTTTTGAGTCCTCAGGGAAAGACAGCATTGACCATCCATTCAATATAGTGCCAATATACATACTCAGGCAGGAGCACCACAGCCAGAAGGAGTTTTGTTACTTTTATAAAGCAAATTCAGGACCCTGCAGAGTTGCTCATCACCGCTCATCACTTCCTCTTCCTGCTTCCAGATGCCTCTGGGATTTGTAGTTCAGCATCACAGCCCTCAAGACTCTGCAGGGATGCTCCCCTTCTGCTATACACTATCATTACATTTCCTATTCACACAACACATTACATTACACAATGCATACACTACTGTATTGTTGCACAAATTGCTAGTTTCGTGCCCCTGGAGGCCTTTCCCAAACACCTCAAGGAGGGAGTCACACTCAGGCTGAGTCCATTACAAGTTTATTGATTGCGCAATTGGTCGACAAAGGGGTTGAGTAACCCAAAGCAG